GCAGTGGCAGCGCCCCGATATGCCTAATTTAACATCGGTCGCCACGGCCGCCCATTCACGCTAGTAGCACCGCGAAAGCGCACCGGATTCAAAGAGTAATTGGCATTTGGTTCATTCCAGCGAACCTTTTCGCAGATCACTACGGATATTCGAATATGATATGAAGCAAATATTCCGTCCATTTTTGCTTTGTTTTGATCCTTCCTTGATGTTACGTTGTTTTTGTAAAGTTGTTTCGCCAGTGTGAACTCACGGTTACTTTTATTATTTTGCTCCTATAGTTTTAATTCGAAATAAAAGAAACGAAATTACAATCATTTACGAACAGTATTGACACCGCAATGAATGTGTCATTACAATTTGCTTACGAGTTTCCTTATAATGCGGATTTTATAAAGAAGTTTATTTAAATTGTGACAACCATCTTGAATTCATGAAGTTGACATAACAGTACGTACAACACGGACGTAAAAAACTATTTAACTGATTTTTAAAATAAATGCTATCTTGTGTAGGTATTATTTCTTATTTACGTCCTTTGATTATCTTATACCGTATGTATGTGATAGCAATATAAATGATGTATCAAGATTAATACTTTTTTAAAGTAATTATTAGTTTTAAAAATACGGTTTTTTGTTTGTCATGAATCATGATAGACTCACAACATTGTTAAAAATTTAAAGCATTATGAATAGGTAATCCGTTTAAGTTTGTACGTGAAGTCGAGTGTATTCACAAAGTAAAAAGTAATAACATTGTAAAGTACAGAGAGCTGGTATAACTTAAAAGATTTTAAAGTGGACTATAAAGATGAAAATTCAAGAGCCGTGTCGACTTTCAGACTTTCCTTGTATTTTAGTGCGCGGTTGGAATCGAGTTTACGATCGTGAAAAACTTGTAAAGATGCAAATAAGTCTGGGAAAAAGGCGACCTTTCCAGAAAGCGATTGCGCGCGACTCTGCGCTTGACTGGTACGTCGCATCGCACAAGACATTCACGTTTGTAGAAACTCGGTCTAAACTTAGTAACGCTAGTGACTAGCCTACGCCGGTAACAGACGACAGCAGCCAGCAACAGCCTTTAGCTCGTCTTATCTCCGGTGCAGTTTGCAGCATTATCATTTCCGTTAAATGCATTTCCTGGATAGCGTCGGAAGAGATCCGAGACTCGAGGCGTTTAAATCGATCACCGATCGATATATTTTTCTAAAAGTTTGTATCTGTTTTAAAAATATTGTTATACAATTATGAGTTTTGTAACATAACATGAAGAAAAGAAGTATACGATGATATTAATAATATTTGACAGGAAAATTTGAACGTTGTTTCTTCAAAATTGGAGAGGCTTAAAATTTTAATTCTCTTTCATAAAGGATGTTAAACACAAATGT